CCTCCTCCTATCCCTCCTCCTCCTCTTCCTCCTTCTCCTCCTCTTCCTCCTCCTCCTCCTCCTCTTCTTCTTCCTTCTTCCTCTCTCTTTTTCTCTCTCTCTCTTGTTTTTTGTTACCATCTTGGGGCTTGAACTCAGGGCTTAAACATTGCCCCTGAGCTTTTTGCTCAAAGCTAATGCTCTACCACTTGAGCTCTACTTTCAGCTTTTTTGGTAGTTAATTGGAAATAAGAGTCTCATGAACTTTCTTTCCTGGGTTAGCTTCGAAGTGAGATCCTCAGATCTCAGCCTCCTGAGTAGCTAGAATTACATGTTTGAGCAACTGGTGCCCAGCTCTGTTTCATCTCTTTATTTATTTATTTTGGTGTTTACTGGGGTTTGAACTCAGGGCCTCATGCTCTTGCTTGACTTTTTCAAGTGCCAAGGTTGGTCCTCTACCACTTGAGTAGCACCTCATTTTTTGCTGGTTCCTTGGAGATAAGAGTCTTTCAGTGTGCCTATGCTGCTCTTGAACCTTCATCTGCAAATCTCAGCCTCCTGAGTAACTAAGATTACAGGCGTGAGCTATTGGTTCTGGGCTTTTGTTTCATCTATTTTTTTAATGTAATTTAATGGCAGAATGAAGTGTACTTGTACATTCTACTTACCACTTATTCTCCTACTCTGTGACATCTGTATCATTTCTAGTTTTTAACCATTACAAATAGGACCAAAATGCACAGCTCTATAAACATTAATTTATCTTTTTAGCATGGTCTCTCTTCTGTGGAGTCACAGGAAGCAGGGTGTTGGTTGGAGAGAAGAAAATCCTTCCAGCTTATGATATTTACTTGCTCCAAGTCTTTCAGGAGGATTGGACAGTTTTCATTTCCTCATCTGTGTGAGGGTCCAGCATTTTGATTGACCATATCATTTAGGTCTTTGTAGAAAAAGAATATCCTTCTATCAGTTGAGAATCTCTCTAATGTAGAGTTGAATGACAAGAACCAAACCTTCCTTATGGAAGGAAACTAGACCTGGCTTACTAAGTGGTGACATTAAACAGCCACAACTTGATTGGGATGTGAGTGTTTATTATTAATCATTTCTCTCAAAAGATCTGGTACAAAGTTAAACTGGATGTGGCTGAGAGAAATGTGCAGCTATGATCTTCCTCTTCCATTCTGTGTTCCTATGGAGTCGTATAAATGTGATCCGTGTGAGAATGTAAGGAAGCCCAGCAAGTTCCACATGGCCACTACCTGCCATATCTGAGCATGATTCTGCCCTTCCATGCCTGCCTTGGGTGGTATCTTATACCACTTGTGCCAAACAACTTCTAGCATGACCACTCACTCAAAAATATCTCCTCTTCCATTTTCTCCTCCTCCTCCCTGTGTTTAAACAACAACAAAAACAAGGTGAAACCACTACTGATCATATTACAAATTTTCCCTTCCCAGTTGTAGTTGGACAAAAGGCCACTGACCTCAGCTGTCTCTCTGGATTTGCTCTTTAATTGCTTCCTGCCTGGCATGGTCAGCAGCTGATTCAGGATAGGTATAGGAACTTCTCACCTAGGACTGGTAGTGCCAAGCCTAGCAGGGCTTTGTCTAGGGCTCAGAGGTGCCTGGCAAGGCAGCACTGCAGACTTGGGGAAGTACTGGTTCCATGTTTGGATCTGTCATAAATAGATGTGGTCAGAATCATACACAGGTATCTCCTTCCTTTCTTCCTTCTTTCCCTTACTACCTCCCTCTTTCTCTCCCTCCCTCATTCCCCTTTTCTCTCTCTCCTTCCCTTCCTCATCCCTTTAACTGGATGGTGTTCTGCAGAGGTTCTGGCCATCACAGGTAATACACACATTGTCAGATCTGGTGTGACACTTCAAAACCCAACAGAGTAGTCAAGTCTTCTAGAATCCAGTAGGTAGTGGCTATGTGGAACTTGCTGGGCTTCCTTACATTCTCACACGGATCACATTTATACGACTCCATAGAAATCCATTACTATGTTCCTGGCTTTAACCTTGCCTGTATGATTTAATTTGCCTGGATCTCATTCTTCTTATCTGGAAAGAAAGGAAGAAGGAAGGAAGAAAGGAAGGAAGAAAGGTAGGAAGGAAGGAAAGAAGGAAGGAAGGAAAAAGAAAGAAAAGGGAAAGAAAGAAAGATGGTGTGATGTCAATCTTACTAAATTATTGCAAGAAATTCACATAATAATGTGCATAAAGTGCCTAGTCATAGTACATAGAGTGACTGAGCACATGCTCATCAGGCATAATCATTACCACCATCATCCTCTTGCTTTGATGTTGAATCTTTTTCATTCTCTTTGTTCAATATTAATGGCTCACATCTCATTTTTCAGCCTTATTTCTGTTTCATGCTTGCAGGGAGTTCTGTGAAGAAGCATGGTCAGCCTGTTGTTTCCAAAATCTTGGGGTAAGTTCGGGAATGTTCAAGCCAGAATCAGGATTGGATTGGCTTTGCCTACTGTCTTGACCAGGAGAGGTATAGGGAGGGAGCCTTCATAGGCCTCTTGGTTCTAATCACTAAAGAATGAGTGCTTAGAAGGATAAGGTGGATCATGCCCATGGTACCTCCTGACCTAGCAGTTCTGCAGGTAGCCCCTTGGCTCAGTTGCTGAACTTGAAGGAAGTAAGAGGACTGGCTATTGCCTGCACAGACTGCAAGCTGTCAAGGCAATGGTTAGAAGATGCATATGAGCAGACCTAGAAAGGGCAAGTAACAGTAGCTGCTGTAACAGACAAGCCCCAATTGCAGTAACATGACACAGGGAGTTGACTTCTCAGTGATGGGGAGTTTAGTACAAATGTTCTTGGGCAGGTAAGCATCTTCCATGTTCTCGTCCAGAAGCTCAAACTTCCTCTGCTGTATATAGCTCCATCTCCTGAGGCCTTTGCATCAAGCCAGCAGATGGACAAGAAAGTATGTGGAGAATCTTGCCGTGCAACACTTGAGCTCATGCTCTATGGGCCAAAACCTAGGCTTTGTGGGTAGGCTAGAGCGCAGTAGAACTCAGGTATTCCTAATTACAAAAGTGACTAGTAAATGAAGTATGACTGTGTGCCCTGGAGGTAAAAATTCTTGTGCCACAGAGTTTTTCAGAGGGACAGGAGAAAATGTCTGAGACTTACGAGTTGGCAATGCTACCTTTGACTGGTTTCTGAACTACGACTGAAGTGACTTGGGTGGGTTGAGGGAGGAAGATTGAATTACTGCTTTGTTTAGGTTTCTCTACTAATTTCTTCCCAGGGACAGATTTTCAGCACCAGCCATGGAGAGTCGTCCTAGCATCTGGAGTGAGTGCCCACCAAAGTTTGCAACAAAACTGGGCCGAGCAGTAGTCAAAGAAGGACAGATGGGACGATTCTCCTGCAAGATCACTGGCCGGCCCCCACCACAGGTCACCTGGCTGAAGGTAAAGTTTTTATTTGTTCTGACTCTGATCCAGAGTCAGACCAAGAATTCAGGGCCAGACCCTTGGATAAGAGGGAGTCTGTCTTTCCTATCAGTTCCTTGTGTTTCAACCCTTGGTTGTTCTTAAGTGTTCTCTATTGGTTTGATAGCAATGTTTCCTTGCCTTTATTTGTACACATTCCCTCTGCTCCTCAGACCACAGTGTTCTTGTAAGACTCATATTCACCAATTGGTGTAAAACTTTTGAGTCAAGACAGCCTCGAACAGCTAAGAGAGTAGAATTCGAAGTTAGGGCAATAGGTTTCAGGCCAGGTCCCTGGATCCTAATTTGTTCAAAGATATGATACTAGACAAGTATTTAAACTCTGGGAAACTCATTTCTATATCTGTAAGTTAGAAATAATGTCAACTATCTCAAAATGCTGGGACACTCCAGGTGCTAGGCAAAAAAAATGTAGGGAGACCAGGTTTTTCAGACAGGAAACTCCTGAATAAAAATGAGAGATTGGGTACATTTCTATCTACATTTTCATTCTTCTGAATTTACCCTGAGGGAAAAATAAATAAAAGAATAGCAGAGAACCCTGAATCTAAGATTCCTTCCTATGTTCTTTTCTCCATAACAGTTGGGGCCTTTTGAGATAGTTTCCATGCATCTGTTCTAAGCTGGACCCAACTCCACACTAGGTACACAGAGCTTAAGGCAGAATGTTGGGATGATCCCAAGATGTTCTCTGTGTGCCCAGGCCCTAGAGTCTGTCCCACAGGATTGCCAGAAGGCAGAATGATAGTGACAACAGTCAAGCAGACTTCTGTGACCGCACTTCCCTATTGACATCCACAGGAAAACATCCCATTGCAGCCAAGTGCCCGAGTGTCTATGTCTGAGAAAAATGGGGTGCAGGTCCTGGAGATCCATGATGTCACCCATGATGATGTCGGTGTGTATACATGCATGGTGGTAAATGGCTCTGGGAAGGCCTCCATGTCAGCAGAACTCTCCATCCAAGGTATGGTGCAAAGGGACACCTCGTAGAGGTGTCAGGACCTCCTAGGGGATGCGCATGCATTATACATCTGTGTATATATGCACACAGCACACTTACATACCTGAGCCTTCCCCAGGGGTGGGATCTTTAACAAGAAGAAAGGGGGCTGTGCCTGTAGCACATACTGGGTCCTGGAGAAAGATAGCCAGCTATCTCCTTCATCTGTGTCCTGATGCTACCATAGGTCTTTACCTTTAAAAATAATTCTCTAATTGTCCGTTAGAAGAATGGACATTACTAAAGTATTATCACTATTGCCTAAAATTTACTTGTCATCCACTCTGTCCTTCAAATCAAGAGTTCTCTCAATTTGCTACTACTACTACTATTACTCAGAACCCCATGTTTCTTCTCAACAGACTAGACACATCAGTACCCCTCTTTTCCATTCATGATTCTTCCTTGCTTTAGCCTCAGCCCTGCTGCTTTCTCTGAACAAGTTCTTCCTTACAGTTCTCTTCCTTGCAAATCCAGCCTGGGGAAACTGGAGCTGTAGATGGGGAAAGGACTAGGTATCACTTCACTGGACACAACACCCAATGGTCGTAGATTTCACTGGTCACGGACATCAACTTGGACTTGATTCACCCTTTCTTCTCCTTTCTTCCTCTCTTTCCTTCTATGATTTTTCTCTTTTGCTTCTCTTTCTTTTCTCAGGAACTGTCTTTCCTCATTCCCTGTACTATTTATCAGCCTGTTCTGTACAATGTACAGAAAGAAACTTTTTCCACTGTACTCTAGAACATAACATCCACATAAAGATATTTAATTGAGTCCTGGTTCATGCAGGACCTGTTTATATACAGTACCTGTTTTCTGTTCCATTGGACATCATTAAAACAAATAACCCCCTCCTGCATTAGAGGAACCCTGTGGATCAGGAACCTGAGTCAGGTATGAGCTAAACTTTAGCCACTCTTCCTTTACTTATTCCCCTAGTCTTGGACTTCAAAACTGCTCCTTCCTAATATACTTAATGACAAATGACATGTTGGCTGAGATTTATTTTATACTCTCAAAATAAGACATAAGGCAACAGAAAGGACTGGGGAAATGTTCTTTCCTTAATCTTGCTGATAGCTTTTGGAGTTAGTAATATTATTCTCTCTACTTTGTATACTTTGGAATTTTTATGATAAAATTTGAAAAAAAAGAAGCTGGGAACAGAATATATTGTACACTTTTCTCTTAGGACAATGGAATAAGTTTATCTTTCCCTGTATATTTGGATATATTTATCAAAAATGAACAGTAATTTGGGAGGATCTGGTGTTTAAATTTTTCTTATTGTTATTATAAAGGTGATATACAGAGGGGTTACAGTTACTGAAGTAAGGCAAAGAATTCATTTCTTTTTGAACAATCTTACCTGTGGGTCTGTTTTTGAGAGCCATAGGTAAGTTAAAGTGTGTGAATCTGACAATGTTAATTGATAGGCTTGTTTGTCCATCTGTCCCTCCATCAGTTTTCTTTGCCTTTGTTTAGTGAAGGGGAACTGCGTCTGCATGCTCAGGGCCTGGCCTCTGTTGGCAAGCAGGGAAGGACAGCCTTGGAACTTGAAGAGTATTCAGTACTGGACAGACATACTTAGGCTAACCGAAGCCCAGCACCAGGGAGGCTAGAACAGTGAGGAGTGGTAGGGGAGAGTAGCAACCAGTAAGTGCTAGAGACATGAAGGCTGTAATAAAGGAAAGGGTGGATGTCTTATCTTTTTTTTTCTCTTGGCATAGAACATTCCACTAACTGCCTTTTTCTTCTTCCCTCTTTTAGGTTTGGACAATTACAGTAGGTATGTCTAGGCTTTGTGATTGTTGTCTTTTCTGTCTTGAAATTTCCTTCACAGAAAGAAGGATGTGATCTAGATTTCAAGCCATCATATAGGAATGGAGAATTGACAGTTGAAGCGGGAGAGGTGTTGTTTTATCTGAGACATTTTGCTTTGTTCTCCTGTTATTACATGCTAACTGGCTCTGTATCTGGCTTGACAATGGCATGAAGACTCTTGAATACTCAATGCCATTATCTTTCTGAGTGTCCTCAAAATGTCTTCCCAAATGAATAAAGGTCCCAAGCCAAAATCACCCAACTCATTCAGCCCATAGTCAAGAGGAACATCCTTTCTTGTGTATGTATGAGGAAGAGAGTAGACATTACATATCCAGGCAGAGCCAACAGCCTACTGTAAAGAATATGTAATTACAACTTGCATACTTTTATGAGGAAGAATGACAGATGCTGATTTGTATTACAATATAGAAGACCCCTTTTCTGATAGCTTGTGTTTGTGAGCTAAGACCTGAAAAGGGTAATTTTAGCAGGGGAAGAAAATCTCATGGAGAACATGTTCCAAACAGAGAACAGCACCTGTAAAAGCACTAGACAAGAAGAGGGCCTGTGGAGACCCCCAAAGAACCCTGGTGTGACTGCACCCTGGTGGGCATCAGGACCATGTCTTGTGAAGGATAACAGATAGCTGGAGCCAGCTCACTTAGGAGCATCTTATGATGCTCAAATTTCTTCTTTTTTTTGCCAGTCCTAGGGCTTGAACTCAGGGCCTGGGCTCTGTCCTTGAGCCTCTCTGTGCTCAAGGCTAGAGCACTACCACTTGAGCCACAGAACCACTTCCAGCCTTTTCTGTTTATGTGGTACTAAGGAATCAAAACCCAGGGCTTCATGCATGCTAGGCAAGCACTCTGCCAGTAAGCCACATTCCCAGCCCCTCAGAAAGCCATTGGAAAATCTTTGCATTTCAAGTGACATAATTTGATTTCTATCTTTAAAATATTGATCACAGTTGCTCTGTGCCAAAGGATTTAGGGAGGAGCTATATGGGCAAGGATGCAAGTTGCCTGGTTTGATTCAGGGACCCTAGAGAGAAGAGAAGTATAGATTCATGAGGCTTAGTGTTATATCTTGGGTCAAGGAAGGGTCAACTGGTTGCTGGTGCTCTAGCTTGGGACACTGAGCAAGCTGTAAAAAAATACTTTGCTCTTACTCATCCCTCCTCTGTGGGCTTTTGTGATCCTGGAATCTGCTGTGATGAGCACTGTTAGAGTAACCAGATGACCATTCTGTCTCTCCTTCTCCTTCCCCTCCCATCCCCTCACCCACACAGGTCATTTTTAAAAGCAGCAAAGACCTCCAATTCAAATATCCAGAGGGAAGTGGCTAATGGAATGTCCAAGGGGCAGACAATGGGCATGCTGGAGACTACAGCCAGAAGTAAGCACTGTTCAAGTCCCCAGAGAGCTGGCCCCACAGCCTGGGCCACAAACAGCCAGCCACAGCCTCTGGAGGATTCCTGGATGGAGCCTTGTGGGGACTCACTCAGAAATATCCTGCAGACCCCCATGCTTCAGAAGACATCCAGCACCATCACCTTGCAAGCCACAAAAGTGCGGCCAGAACAGAGAGCATCAATCTTGGGGTCTTTCTCTCCTGAAGAGAGGAAGAGACCAGCTGCCTTCCAGCCAACCACCCTCCCTACCCGGTACTCTGGCTTGGAAAGCCCAGACGTGATGAGCAAGATTGCTATAAGGAAAGTTTCCATGGAGAGCCAGAGGGATGCAACATTTCCCAGATTTGAGAGCAAGCCCCAAAGCCAGGAAGTCACTGAAGGTCAAGTCGTCAAGTTCCGGTGTGAGGGTGAGTAGAGCTGATTAAGGTCACTGGTTCCCAAAGTGCAGCACACTGGTGGCCACTCCTTTCCTTCACACACAGCTAGTCTGCATGTCCCACACACCCACTCCCTTAGACTAGATCCCCCAAGAAGCCACCATCCACTATCTTCCTGTCAGGAAGAACTATCTAGAAAGCCGGGCACCAATGGCTCATTCCTGTAATCGTAGCTACTCAGGAGTCTGAGGTCTGAGGGTCACAGCTCAAAGCCAGCCCAGGCAGGAAAGTTCATAAGACTCTTATCTCTAATTAACCAGCAAAGAAGCTGGAAGTAGAGGTGTGACTCAGTGGCAAAGCTCTAGCTTGAGCAAAAAAGGGTGCTCAATCCTTGAGTTCAAGCCCCAGTCCCAATTCAAAATTTATTTAAAAAAAAAAAAGAAAAGAAAAAGAAAAAAGGCCTAGAAGCAGGGCACCTTTCATCCTAGCTACTCAGGAGGCTTGAATCTGAGGATCACAGTTCAACGCCAGCCCAGGCAAGAAAGTCTATGAGACTCTTATCTCCACTAAACTACCAAATAAGCCAGAAGTGAAGTTGTGGTTCAAGTGGTAGAGCAGTAGCCTTGAGCAAAAAAGAAGCTTAGGACCAGCATCAAAACAAAACAAACAAAAAATTGCCTGGAAAAGTTCTTTATTCTATTGAAATACCCAACAGTGACTCACTGTTCCCTGTAAGATAGAGCAGTTACCCTGTACCTTAATTTTTGCCTCTCTAGGTGAAGCAAAAGCCTCATCATCACCCTCATCACAAAGCAGAGTAGGTCTCTTTTCCCCCTTTCCTGGCCTATCACCCTTACCTTCCTCTACCCCTTTTCCTGGACAGAGTGTAGGTTGGGTGTAGGTTGGGGTGAGAAGGCAGGCTTGCAGTGGGAAATGACTCCCTCCTCGTGGAGTGCTCCCCTCCCAGTGAGACCCTCGCCACCCCACAAACATGTGGTGCTCCCAGGGGAATTTCACTTTTCATCTGGTCCTACAGTTTCAGGAATCCCAAAACCTGAAGTGACCTGGTCCCTGGAAGGCATTCCTGTGAGGAGCCAAGCAAGCATCCTTGAGATTTATGAAGATGGTGGATCCCATTACCTCTGTCTGCTGAGAGCCCAGGCAAGGGACACTGGAAGATACAGCTGCACAGCTTCCAATAGCCAAGGCCAGGCATCCTGCAGCTGGACCCTCTTAGTGGAAAGTGAGTACATCACTCATATCACCCCAGATTCTTGGGGTGGAGAGGTATTCATAAGGTGCTTCTCTTGCTACAGATAGCTCAGCAACTACCACCCTGTATCCAGGGTCTACAACAAACATCACCCCAATGCACAAACCAAGGCCAAAGTCATTACTCATGACCAGTGATTCTTAATCAAGAATTTGCAGCAGAATCACATCAAAATAGATATGGCCAGGCTCAGTCCCAGCCCAACAGGGAGCTACTTTTTTAGGTTCCTCAGCTGTCCAAGTTGTCCCATGACTCAACTTCTAAAACCACAGAGAAGCCAGCACTGACTAAAGACACAGGTTCAGAGATGTGAAATGATCTAGAAGGCCACATTTTGTGTGTTGATTATCATATCCATTTGTAAAAGTGATGCATGATCACAGTGTGGCAGTTACACTATATATAATCTTAAGACTCCAAAGTAAATATTTTAATGCTTTTAAAACACAGTCAGCATTGTGCTGAGTTTATCAGCATTGTCCTGATTCCTATCCTAATTGACTCATAAACATAGCATCAACATCTTTTGAGTATTTTGGAATCATTAAAAATATGGTTCTAATGGCTATGTCATATCATTTATAGTAATTATTTATGCATTCTGTTATTTTGTTGAATGTTCCAATTATTTCTATTACTTTCCCTCTATTAAAATAAAGCTATGATAAGTAGGCCTGGGTAGTAGAACACTTGCTTAACATTCATGAGGTCCGCTTCGGCACCACAAAAATAAAACCCCAAAACTATGATAAGTATCTTTGTATCAATTTGTCTTTCTATAAAAATTGTCCATTTCTTTTTTTTAGTGCCAGTACTGGGGCTTGAACTTAGGGACTTGCCCTTTTGCTTGGCTCTTTACCACTTGAGCCACATCTTCACTTCTGGCTTTGTACTAGTTACTTGGAGATGAGTCTTTTGGATTTGACTGCCTAGTCTGGTTTTGAACATATATCTTCAGAACTCAGCCTCCTGAATAGCTAGGATTACAAGCATGAACTTGGCTATTTCCCATCACTTTAAATACTTGCATATAACCAGTGTTAAGAACTCAGTGGAACAAGTAACCTTTGCCCTATATGTCAACAAATCAGTTACAAACATAAAAAGAGGAAGGCAAGAGGGACATGATATATGAAATTTTGATTGAAAAATACATAAGTCCCATCAGCAATTATAATTCATGGACCTCAGATGGCTCCTAACTGGGACAGTTTTTTGATGAGAGCATCTGAAAATTTTGGACAGCAACAAGGTATTTGATATACAGATATTGGCGATGTTTTAAATTGTAATAATGTCCTCCTGTTTATTTTTTGTAAGTTTATCTACTTTGGAGACATAAAACTGAGCTGTTCACTGGTGACATATCTCTCTTAGAATTAGCCCATTTTAGGGATGTATAGGCAGAGGTAGTAATTAAATAATGTTGATACTTACCTGTATATATAAATGAAAGATGAGAAATAGCTATGGAGGGAGTCCCTACATGACTTTCTCTACTTCTGTGTGAGTTTGAAATTTTATTTAAGCTGGACGTTGGTGGCTCACGCCTGTAATCCTAGCTATTCAGGAGGCTGAGATCTGAGGATCGTGGTTCAAAGCCAGCCCAGGCAGGAAAGTCCATGAGACTCTTACCTCCAATAAAGCACTAGAAAACCGGAAGTGACACTGTGGCTCAAGTGGTAGAGCACTTGCCTTGAGCTGAAGAGCTGAGGGACAGCGCCCAAGCCCAGAGTTCAAGCCCCACGACCAACCAAAAAAAAAAATTACTTAATACATAACTTAATTCTTCATCTACATGGTAGAATTCTACATGGCCTTTTGTAGATGTTTATGGCAAGATATGCAAGATACAGTAGGAGTGGAGAAAAGCAAAGTGCAGTCTGCATGTGCCCTGTGTTATTTGTGCCAAAGGAAGAAAAGATCCTATTTATTCATACTTGTATATGCAAAAACAGTCCTTAGAAAAGTGCCTCTAGGAGAGGAACTAGCGGTCCCTGGGCAGGAGTTAAGGGATTCTTACTCCATATATTGTTCACTTCTTAGCTGGTCGTAAAGGAGCCCCTTTGCAAGAAATACCATCATTTTACTTGGCAACAGGAGTGCTTGTGGATGGGTCATACAATCACAGGTCCAGAGTAAGACTCTCAGCCAGGCCAGGGCTCTGAGGCTAGGTAGGAACAGACATACAGACATGTGTGTGAGTTCTACCCAAGGTTAATAATGTACTGAGACAGTCTAGTTTCTCCTATGGTTTTGCCTCTGTGAGTTTATCTAAATCTTGTAGCTGGTTTTTTATCCTGTTTTCTCATGTTGGATAGTTCATCTCAGATTTACTTTTTTTTTTGTATAAGTGGCTTTGTTGCAATATAATTCATAAAACTTTAAAGACCCACTTCTAAAGTATACTTCAAAGGCCAGAAATGGTGATATCCCACACCTATAATTCTAGCTATTTAGAAGGCAGAAATTGAAACAATCTTTCTCTGAGACCAGTCTAGGCAAAAAGACTCCCTTTTAATCAGTAAGTCTGGTATGGTGGTACATGCCCTTGGTTCCAGCCATATGGGAGGCCATAGATAGATAGATAGATAGATAGATAGATAGATAGATAGATAGATAGATAGATAGATAGATAGATAGATAGAAGATTATTGTCTGGATGGATGTGGGAAATATTATGAAAATTAAAGTGAAAAATATCCAGGAGCATGGCTCAAGTGGTAGAGCACCCACTTAGTAAGCATGAGGCCTCGAGGGCAAACTCTAGTACCAACTAAAAAGAATGGAAGGCAGGAAGGAGGAAAGGGCAGAATGAGTATAATTTACTAATTTTCAGTATATTCACAGAGGTGTGTGGCCATTACCACTCGTTAATTTTGGAACATTTAGATACCACCCCTTCACCCAAAAAAACTCCTACCTCATTTTCAGGTACTGCCTGTTTTCCTATCCCTTCAGCCCCTGACAACTAATCTACTGCTATCCCTATGGATTTGCCTATCTTAACATTTTATATACATAGAATCATGTCATGTGTGATCTTGTGAGGCTTGAACTCAGGGCCTAGATACAGTCCCTGCCTGAGCACCGTCCCTAAGCTCTTTTGCTCAAGCTTAGCACTCAACTACTTTGAACCACAGCGCCACTTCCAGTTTTCTGGTAGTTAATTGGAGATAAGAGTCTCATGGACTTTCCTGCCTGGGCTGACTTTGAACCATGATCCTCAGATCTCAGCCTCCTGAGTAGTTAGAATTACAGACATGAGCCACTGGCACCTGGCTAATTTTCTGTTTTTTAATTAGAGTCATTCATGGTTATTTTATTTTTGACTTTCATTTCCCTGATGACTAATAATGTTGAGCAGTATTTCCTGCCAACTTAAAAAAAATTATATATATATATATATGTCTGTGTGTGTATGTGTTGTTGTTGTTGTTGTTGTTGAAAAGGTGAGGTACAGAGGAGTTGCAGTTACATAAGTCTAGTAATGAATACATTTCTTTTTGAACAGTGTCACTCCTTCCTTCTCTCCCAGTTTTTCCCTACCATCCCCACCCACAAGTTGTATAGTTCACTTTCAGCAGAGTGTCTAGTGAATACCACTGCTGCATTTATTCACCCTTTGACCTACCCTTTCTGTGCTCCCCTTGCCCTCCCAAAGACAAATAAACTAACAAATAAAACAAAAGGTAGGCTGGGAATGTGGTTTAGTGGTAGACTGCTTGTCTAGCATGCATGAAGCCCTGGGTTCAATTCCTCAGTACCACATAAACAGAAAAAGCTGGAAGTGGCTCTGCAGCAGTTGTAGAGTGCTAGTTTTGAGCACAGAGAGGCTCAGGGACAGATCCCAGGGAAGTGGTGCTGTGGCTCAAGTGATAGAGCGCTCACCTTGAACTGAAGAGCTCAAGGACATTACCCAGGCTGGAGTTCAAGCCCCATAACTGACAAGAAAAGAAAAAGAAATATTGGGTCAGGGACAGAGCCCAGGTCCTGAGTTCAAGCCCCAGGACTGGCAAAAAATAAATGAAGAAAACAAAAACAGCAAAAGAGAAAAAAAAACTCCTGTTTTCATTCCTTGGAGTTCATTTTGATAAGTATTATTTTATATGATCATATGCACATAGTAATTGAGCATTTATGATCCTCTTCTAAGAATATCCTCCTTTGGTCTTACTGTGTGACTGTAGAGATCTGTATAATTTATCATGTCCAATTGCATTTTGTTGTCTTTCTATCCAGTGTGTTTACTTGTAAATTTATAGGCACATTCTAACTACCACAAATGAGGGAAACGATGCACCCTATGTTTCTTTGGTCAGGCTTACTTCACTTAATATATTTTTTCCAAGTCTTTCCATTTCCTTACAAATGCTTTTGCCCACTTTGTGTGTGTTTGTGTGTGTGCCAGGCCTGAGGCTTGAACTCAGGGCCTGGGCACGTCCCTGAGCTTTCTTGCTCAAGGCTAGTATTCTACCACTTGAGGCGCAGCATCACTTCTAGCTTTGGGGTGATTAATTAGAGTTAAGAGTCTCACAGACTTCCCTTCCTGGGCTGGTTTTGAACCTCAGTTCTCAGATCTCAGCATCCTGAGTAGCTAGATTACAGGCATGAACCTCTAAGACCTGGTTTTTGACTGGGTCATTTTTTATTGTTGTGTTTTAAGAATTCTTTACATATTCAAGATTTACCTTTATCAGACATACTATTGGCAATTAATTTTTATCATTCTGGATGTGACATTCTGGATGTGACAAAATTCCTGAGCTGATCAACTTAGAAGAGGAAAGATTAGTTTTGGTTCGCAGTTTCAGAGGTGTCATCCCTGGGTCAGCTGGTTCTGCTGCTTTGGGACTTAGGGTGAGGCAGAGCTGCAGTGAAGGAGATGGGACTTCAAATGCCACATAACCTGCTCTTACCATGATTCAGCTGGGTTTCAGGGTGGGGGTTTGGTTTTGTTGTTCATAAACAAACATTCCTCAGAATGTTGCTAGCCTTAAGTTAACCCCCAGAGTTCTGGAAAAGTTGGTAGAGTCTCTATCAGGTTCTCTCTGCTTTTGTGGAGGAATTGGTTATGGTTCTGCCATTGTAGAAGGGCTTCATGGTCCTCCATCTTGTTAAAGATATCAGCTGTCTTATATCTTCTCCAGCCAAGATGTAGGTCAGGTGGCCTGTGATCTTCTAGCTTCTGTCAACCCTCTTTCTACTCCTCAATGCACATAAGCTTCTCCTTGTACCCAGACTTCTCCTCCTACCTCCTCCAGCTTCACAATGCTCTTATCTACTAAGGGCTAGATGGCTAACACTTTTCTTTAGTCTCTATCCATTGGAGAGACATTCTGGTGTCCCCCACACACCCTTGCTGTTCCCTATGCTGAAAGGGGAAAGAAAAATCTTTCTCCTGGTTGCTAATGCTCAAACTCCCACTTTCCATCTCCACTCTTTCAGTCCCAACGCATATTTGCCCTAAGTGAAGTTTCTGTGCACAGGTAGCTTCCATTCACCCATAATGGCAAACATTCATAAGGATGTTCTAAAGGCCATTTCTGTGCTAAATACTTTGTTTGCAGTCTTCCATTTAGTTATCCCAACCATCTTTGTTGTTGTAATTTCTTTTTCTGAGACTGGGACTGGAACTCCATATGATGCTTTCAATCACTGGCTGGTGCTGTACCACCTGAACCACAACTCCAACCCAACCAGCAGATACATGAGATAATTATAGTTGCACTTATTCTCCAGATGGGAATACCAAGCTTTAGTAAGGTTCAGTGACTCATCCAAGAACACATACCTTGCAAATCTCTAACCCATGATGGTCTGATCTTTTCAGTGACTCCCAAAGGCATGTCTCTAGTGAGGAACTGATGGAAGAAGTTGATAGTGACTCTCTACATGTGAGATCATCTGCCCATCCCTTCCTCAGTGCCAGGTCTGGTTAGATGCACCATCTTTCTTGTAACTCCTCTCCCATAGAGGAGGGTCTAGGGGAGACAGATGGCTGTGGAGTCAGAGAGCTGACTGAGAAACTGCCTCACCCCTGGGTTTGACTGTAGGAAATGATGAACTTTGTCTAGAAAATGAACTAAAGATGGAACAGCATGACACTGTCACATTCACACCTAGGAAAGTAACTCGCAGGTACAGTCCCTCAGGTTTTCTTGGCTGAAATCCCTCAATACAGAGCAGGTTTCCCCTCATCTCTGTAATGAGAAGCACCAGCGATGTCTGCTCAGTCATCGTGACCCTTGTGCAACTATTCTGAGGAGAGTAGAAATTATCTGTCCTTGTTGCTCTTTTAACGAAGGGCCCCAAACTTCAATCCATTTCACTGATGTGGAAGGCTTTTGAGGAGTTAAACTAGGAAGATGTTCTAAAACTAGAACATGCATTTTCTTGGGGCCCCAGCAGTTCAGAACCCTTGGCCTAGGTTGGGACTCAAACCACACTTGGAAAACTACAACGTACATGAGACTTTGTTATTGGAATCCATCTCAGAACTAGAAAAGAATAGTTGTAATAATTGAAAGTGGAAATATCTTCCCTGTGGGTTTGTGGTTTCTAGAAGTAGAGATAGTGACAAGATTGGGTAATCACTACTGCAACATATAGAAGAGGAGACAGTAGAACCAGATGCTGGTGGCTTATACCTGCAATCCAAGCTACTCAGGAGGCTGAGATCTGAAAATCATGATTCCAAGCCATCCTGGGCAGACAAATCTGATAGTCTTATCTCTAATTAACCAGCCAAAATTTGGAATTGGAGGTGTAGCTTAAGTGGTCAAGTGCCAGTCCTGGGCAGAAAAAGCTAAACAAGAATCTAAAGCCTTGAGTTCAAGCCCTAGTACTAGCATTAAAGAGAGAGGGTGGGGGAAAGAAGAGGGAAGAGAATAACAGAACAGTATAATGTAGAGGGCAGACCAAGAGGGAAAACAGAACACAGTGAGGGTCAAGAACAGGCAGGAGAGGCCTAATGTAGAAAGGAGAGAAGATACTCTCTGGTCCTGAGTAGCCCAGCACCAGGGTGCTTTATGACTGGAAGGCCACCAGCAATCCCCTTGCTTCCAACCCAAGCAGCATCTGGGACTGTCGCTTTCTGCTGTGAAGGTAGACAGGGTCTAAGTAGCTGCCCAGAAAGCCCAGCACACGGGCCAGTGCAGCATCTGCCTATCAGGCTTAGGGTGAATGAGATGGCCTGTGTGTTCTTTGCCTTCACAGGGCCAGCCATAATGAGGGTGGCCCCCTCATTCTCCAGTGTCTTGAAGGACTGTACTGTCATCGAGGGTCAGGATTTTGTGATGCAGTGCTCCGTACAGGGGACCCCAGTGCCTCGAATCTCTTGGCTGCTCAATGGTGAGTCCTTAGCCCCCTGCCCAGGGTACTCTTTGGCTCACCTAAACTCTCACTTCTTATGCTGAATCACATCTGCCTCAGAAACATCTGGAGTACAGAGAGCACAGGACTGAATCTGCTATTAACTGGCCAGGCAGGTTACCAACATGAAAGGCCTTAAACTCCTCATCTGCAGGGTGGAAATAACAATACCAAGCTTGCAGGGTGGTAGATGTGAGACTAAATTAGTTCACATAAAGCAGCTAATCCGATGTCCAATACATAGATCACAAATAAATCAGTTTCTTTGTATGTGACTCATGAGAGGTCCTCGATAAAGATTTGAAATGTAAACTAATGAACCACACCACAAATTCAAGTATCTTGTCTATTATACATAGTGGCAGGTGAGGTAGGGCTCAGCAACTAGGAATTCTTTTTTAATGTTAGAGCTCTATTAAAAATGCCCACTCTTTTTTGTTTCAAACCAAGTAAGATCTTTGAAAAAAATTAATTACCATATATTATCACTTTTCTCTTTTTTAATAAAAGTCCTTTTAATTTTAAAGGTACAAGGAGCTCTGATTTTATAACAAGAACAATCCATTAAATGGGTAAGACTGGACAGCAGCCACAGGGAGGATGAGTGGGGAACTGCCAAGAGTGAAAAGCTTTTAGGTCCCCCACTGAGCAGTGGGGTATCCCAGTTTACCTCTGGATGCAGGCTCTCTTTTCAGGGGGAAAGAGTAGAACAGAAGGCCTGGGGTCTGGGCCAGCTCTCACATCTACTAAATCAGGCTCTTAAGGAGACAGCACCCATCACTTATGCTCCCAGGAACCCCTGGGTATGTCTACACCATGGTACATTGCTTGAGAACCTTCCATGTTGACCATTTGCTCAGGCTGTGCTGAGTGATGGGAGGTGCTGAGTACCTTCCTACATGCAGCTGAGAACTGCATGGACAGTTGATAACTGAAGTTTGCCTTCCCATCCACTCCTCACCTGAGGAAAGAGCTCCTGTGGGACCCTGGGGCTGACTCACGGATACAGTCTCCTTGAGGCTGGATCAGAAATGAACATAAGAGCTATGATGGATCTGAATAGGTGAGTTTCTCCTTTGCCTGGCTCAGGGTGAGTCTAGAACAAGAGTTTACAAACATGATCTCTGAGGGGCCAGGTAGTAAATATTTTCAGCTTTTGGGGCCATACACCAATTATTCACCTCTGTTGTTGCAACATAAGAACAGAGCATGTGTAAACAAATGAGTTGAGCCTGCATTGCAAGAAAACTTTATTGATAGACACTGAAATGTCCATCCTATGTCATTTTCACATCATGACATTTTCTCCCTTTTATTTTTTTCAACTACCTAAAGTATGTTAAGAACTATTGTACAGTTTGTACAACCCCAGGTGGTGGGTAGATTTGGTCTCCAGGATGTGTTTGCTGACAAACCCCTGGTTATACCCCTTCCTCCGATCTGAATTCTGGGTGACAGTCCTGCTTGCTTCCCACTAGAGGGAGATCGTGCTCCAGTTGGGTTTCTGTGGCTGCTGTGGTCCAACCCAGGCTCCATACTGAGAGTTTGATGACTCCCAGTTGTGACTTGTCCCTAGCCAACAACTCCTTTCTGGGGGCTTCGTCTTTGTGTGGGGGGCCAAGTTGTGCTCCAGGAAAAAAAAAGAGAGGTCATAATGTTTGTCAGCCTGTATTTGAATATCAGAGGCATGTTGACAGCCCCTCAAGGTATGTGCTGGTGATGCCAAGGAAGAGATGGGGTGGGTGATCACAAAAAAAAATTAAAGCAAAGAGTGGTATTCAGTCCCTCAGTGGCAGAACCCTAGCCCCTGCCTCCAGACCACCACTCCAGTCTGACTTTTATGGAGTGCAATGGGTTGGGAAGGCTCCCTTCCCTCTGGCCCTGTGGCATTCTTGGCAGTCTTTTTGCCCAACTGTCATGGACACATGAAGTGTTGCTATGTGCAGAAGAAAACATTGCATTGCACAGAAAGCCTTTCTTCCTGTACTATCTCTTTCCCCTGCCACTCTCTCCAGCCTCCCACCCCTGATTTTATGAAGTGCAAACCAGGATCCTGGGGCCTGGCAAAGGAAGGACCTGACAGTTGCTTCCTAGATGATGAGCAGACACATTCCTGCTCTAAGGCCAGTCTTTAGTAATGAGTTGGTTGAGTTCCCCCCTCAAAAAGAAAGAAAGAAAGGCAGAAAGAAAAATAGAAAGACAGAAACAAAGGCAAAGAAAGAAAGAGCCACATCCTGGGATGATAAAAATCCCAAGATCATATAGCATTAAGGAAACCACTAAGTCCATTGCATGGTCCCCTATCTCCATATATAGGACTTCTAGAATATGTCCTGAACACAGGTCTTTGGTGGAGGGTGAAAGTCATCTTTAGCTCCACATTGAGCTTTTCTGTGAATACTAAAATGCACAGAATACGTGGAGCTAATTGCAATTAAAGTTGAGATGCAGAATTCTTTCTGATAAATAGCTACAATGGAAAGTAAAATCATTGTTCTGGAATCACCCAAAGGGAACTGGGAGCTATATGTCTGGGCAAGGTCTGTGAAACTGAGGGATAGAATGGAGACTATACAGAAAGCCCAGATGTCTGTCCCTTTCCCTCCGATACACCAAATTCCTCCAGAATCACTCTCCCTGATCTTCCAGGCTTTCTTGCCCACCATGGACCTGGGCCAGCTCCCATGCCTGACAGTAGCATCCCAGCTGAGGTCAGGACTTATGTTTCTATCAGATGCTCTCTGACCTGAGTCATCTTGTGCTTCCTTCCTCAGGGCAGCCCATCCAGTATGCTCGCTCCACGTGCAAGGCAGGTGTGGCTGAGCTCCACATCCAGGATGCCCTGCCAGAGGACCGTGGCATCTACACTTGCCTGGCAGAGAACAGCCTAGGGCAGGTGTCCTGCAGCGCAAGAGTCACTGTGCATGGTAGGTATTTCCAGGCTCCTTTCTAAATACATCTTCCCTGCAGACCTGTCTTTTATAGGCAATGGGATGATTGACCCATATCCAGGAAGCAGAGCACACTCAGCCTTACTGTACACCACCATGGCTAGCAGGCAGCCATGACTGCTACAGCACAGGCTGCTGGAAGGTTGAAGGCTCTATAGAAAGCCCTGTGCCTGAGCCAGGCAGGCAGAGGAAATGGCCTCCAGGAGCCCACACAAACAGGGAACCTTCTTGGAGGGGGATATGCCCCCCGCCCCATCACTTCACCCCATGGAGCCATGGGCAGATTCATGGGGCAGAGGCAAAGACTTTCCTAGTTCCAGAGACTCCCTGTCTGGCAGAAAGAAAATCACCTCCCTGTAAGAAAAATACCCATATACTGGCTTAGCACACAGGGATCTCACAAATGACCCCTTTTACCTTGGGAAATCCCAGATCACACAGCATGGGCACGAAGACTTCTATGGGGTCTCTCCACTTCTTCCATGGACCTCCCTACTAGCCTAAGCTTGTTTTTACACATCACCAGTCAAGTGACCAGTAATCTGATTACCTTTGTCATCTGTTGATTAGCCAAGCACTTAGTCCACAGAAATCACAGGAGAGTCATAGACTCAGGACAGGTCTGGCTGGGCTGTGAGATCGGTGGGCATGGTGACAATTCCTGGGCCCAGGGCCTTTCAGGTAAGCCTAATTACCACCCTCATTTTGCACCGATGCCCCCAGCTTCTGGGCATAAGTAGAACCTATAGTGTTTGGACCAGGTGCAGTATATTTACATTGCCATTAGACTAGCAGGGGAGGCCACCTCTTCCCCCTATCCCTCAGGACTCAGGCCTTTGGGGAGAGCCCCCACTGTAGTGTGCAAAGCTACCTTCAGGGAGGAGGATGCAAGAGACGATTTCACATAAAATGTGCCAAACACTTTCTTCCTGCTGTTTCACCTTGCCTACTGTACCCTCCCTCACCCCAGAGATCTCCACAGCTTGGGCTGAGACTGGGGTCCCTGTTTTATACAGAAGGATCTAGAGGTCTCATGGAGACACGTGACTGAACCAAATGTACCACATTGATAGGGAAAGCCAATCTTCTGAGCCCAGGCCCTGAGATTGAAGCTGAGGCAAGTCTCATAGCTGCCTTTTCAGAGGACATCTGCCCCTGGTCCCAAGGGAGAAGCTGGCCATAAAGGCAAGGAATTGTCCATCCCTCAGGGACAAAGCTACAGCCATTGGTGTAGGATGTGATTCACAATGGCTCCTTGAACCTCCCTACTGGGAGTGGACTCTAATTTCTCTGCAGAAATGCCTCAGCATGTCATCCACTATTCCAGAAAGCCCTCCACCCTCAAGTCAGGGCTGGCATGGCCCTTGGCAGCTTCCCAGCCAGCATTCTGGTACATACATTTATTTAGTGTGAAGGTCTTTGGGGCCTCAGAGACTGGAATGGTATTTCCAAAGAAGCAAGAAAGCTCAGAGCCTGGTCTCCAAGGGCCAGGGGAGCAACTGTCCCCTCCTATCTTGGAGGTCAGTGTGGCCCTGAGCCAGTCTATAATGGGCAGGAGAGTCAGAATAGTATCAGTTGAGCTGCACAGCTCAACCTTCTCTCTTCTTCTTTTTTTAATTTAATTTTATTTTGTAAGTTTTACTGTTTTTTTGTTTGTTTTTGTTTGGGCTAGTCCTGGGGCTTGAACTCAGGGCCGGGGTACTGTCCCTGAGCTATTTTTGCTCAGGCTAGTGCTGAGCCATAGTACCACTTCTTTTAAAGTTTTATTGTAAAACTGATGTAAAGAGAGGTGTTACATAAGTAAGGAAATGAGTATATTTCTTTTTGAACTGTATTACCCCCTCCCTCATTTTCTCCCACTCCATCCCCCCCTCTCAAGTTATAAAGTTCATTTCCAATGTAGTGTCTAGTGAGTATCACTGTTTCAGCCTTCTCTCTTCTTTTTTTTTTAAATTTAATTTTGTTTTATTTGTGAACATACTGTACAGAGGGGTTACAATTACATGGGCAGGATAATGCGTACATTTCTTACCAAGCATTGCAGCCTCCTCCTTTGGTTTACCCTTCACATCCCTTCCCAGCCTCCCCCCTCCCCCCCAATCCCAATCCTTCTCCTTCCCCCCTTCCCCCCCTCACACCGACACAGCCTTCTCTCTTCTAAGACTGTCTCATCAGCTTCAGCCAACAGCTTGCTAATCCAGGTTGTTCTGCCTTATCTTAGTTTGGATTAGAGACCCAGCTGAGCTGTCTCTCAGTGGTAGGATCCCCAGATGAAGGATCAAAAACTCTTTGGAGCTATTTTCCTGGCACCTGATGTTGGAGTAAGGTAGAGGACTACATGGTAGTTCATTTGAGTGTGTTAGAAATTAGGAAGAGAAGTCGGGCACTGGTGGCTCATGCCTGTAATCCTAGCTAGTTAGGAGGCTGAGATCTAAGGATCACAGTTCAAAGCCAGCCAGGTCAGGAAAGTCTGTGAGACTCTTATCTCCAATAAACTACTCAGAAAACCAGAAGTAGCACTGTGGCTCAAGAGGTAGAATGCAGGCCTTGAGCTGAAGAGCTGAAGGACAGTGCCCATGCCCAGAGTTCAAGCCCCACAACAAACAAAAGAAAAAAAAGAAATTAGGAAGAGAACTATCTGGCCATGGCTCAGCCATGCTTTTCAAGTTTGCTCTCAGGCTGGGCCTGCATGAGTGAGGCTTTCCTGGATGGGAGATTTACTGGCCTGTCAAGGCCAGACAAAGGCTCAAAGCCATAAATGGGTCTCAGCAAGTCTGAGGCATAGCCTGCTCAGTCCCAGGGCTGGCAGGATGAGTGCGGCACAATGAGACCCCTGGCATCCTGCCCAAGTCTCTCTCAGGTGGTGTGGGGCTGTGTCTTGCACCATCCTTAGACAGGAAGCTGTTCTTACGTCTTGAAGACCCTTAGGTTCCAGGTCCTCTGGAAGCAAGTAGGGACACTGGTTCCTTACTGTCACGGCCAGGACTCCAGCCTCTTCTGCAGCTTCCCAGGACCTTGCTCTGTCACCCCCTATCACCCTCTATCACCCTCTGCCTGGCATGAATCCCACTCATCACATCCTAGCCCTGACTACCCAGGTGCTAACTCCAGGCTAAACTTTCCTCTTCTCTGGGATGGGGACACTCACAGCTCTATAAGAGTGAGTGAATGGATTCGTGCACTGTCCCTAGAATATAGAAATGCTCAGAAAGTACACGCTGCTTTTATGACAATTGTCCAACTTTTAAACAGGATAAAATATCCTTGGAGTGTTTTTCCACAAGGATCTGCTTGCTATCGTTGTATTTATCTGTCCATTCAAGAAAAGAGAGGATTGTAAGTTTGAGGTCAGCCTAGACTACATAATGAGACCAAGCAAGAGAAAGAAGGTTGGTTGGGGCCTCATTTCTGTGCCTCCTTGCAAGGCTCTGGCCACAAGGTGGCAGTGTGCAGCAATGTATAGCCCTCCAGTTGTCTTCTAGTGGTGGTTGTTCTGAGAGCCACTCTCCTGGAGATAGCTTCCATCTGACAGTACAGCAGATACTATGCTGCAAGCCAGACAGTGGGACTCTTTCTCACCTCTTGAAGCTTTTGTCAAGATTTTGTAATCTTCCAGACACCAGCCCAACACTCTGTGCTAGTACTTTCCATGTTCTGCTTCAATGTCATAGCACTCTGCTCCTGAAATCCGGGCTAACTCTTACCTGATGCCACTTTCTCCAGGAAGGCTTCCCTAAACACCCCAGAAGGAGTTCTCAACATCCTGTAGTCCCTTATCACACTTACCGATCCACCAGTCTTTTCTGTGCACCTGTATTTACTTGTTCAGGCATTGTTCTGGGGGAACTGCAGTAAGCAGCTCAGACAAGAGCCCAGCTTTCTGGTGGCAATGCAGGCAGTGGTTTTATTGCATATGCTAACAAGTGCTATTAAGAAAATGAGCAGGGGGCTGGGACGGTGGCTCAGTGGTAGAGCATTTGCCTTGCATGCATGAGGCCCTGGGTTTGATTCCTCAGCACCACATAAGCAAAAAGAAAAAAGCCGGAAGTGGTGCTGTGGCTCAAGTGGTAGAGCGCTAGCCTTGAGCTGAAGAGATGAGGGACAGCACCCAGGCCCAAAGTTCAGGCCCCAAGGCCGGACCCCCCCCAAAAAAAAAGAAAAAGAAAAGAAAATGAGCAGGGCTTGGGTCTGGTTAACTTGGTGATAAATCCCTTGTCTAACACATGAAAAGCCCTGGATTTGATCCTCAGCACCACAAGAGAAAAAGACAAGAAAAGAAATGAAATCAAATGAAATGAAAAGAAAATGATCAGGATTCTATCATATTTATAGATGACTTCTATGTGCTTTGTATGTCCCTCCCCCACAGTATAACCCATACTTTCACTGTATTTGATGTTGGTATAATTTGTGGAGGGGAAGGGAAAAAAACAAATCGTTTAACTAGGGATACAGGTGGACCCATTGCAACAATGAGATGTACAAGTCGTTATGTCAAAAAACAAACTTTACAACTTTGGTGGGGGGTTGGGGGGGAGGTTCGGGTGGGGGGAGGGGAGGAATATGGGAAGGGATGGGAAGGGGAAACAAAGAGGAAGCGACAATGCTTGATAAGAAATGTACTCATTATCTTGCCCATGTAATTGTAACTCCTCTGTACAGTATTCTCACAATAAAAAAAAATGCTAGAAAAAAATGAGCAGGATATAGGACTTGAGAAGGGTGGAAGGGGGTACTTCATAAGTCATGTGGTCTAGGAGGCCTGTGAGGCTGATGAGCTCGGATAAGAATGTTTCAGGCAGGTGACAGGTAGGACATCAAGTACAAGGGTCTGGGGTGGAAACAGGGCTGGGTTAATCAAGAAACAGCAAGATGGCCTGTATGGCTGACAGAGGGCAAGAGACATCATACCAAGTCTCTAGAGGTAAAGAAAAAAACATTTCATTCTGACTGTGAAATTGGACTCCATGTGTGTG